CACCAGCAGGCTTTTGGTCTCCACTTTTAGTTGAGTGGTTATTTGTGGGCAGTAAGTTGAGTTGTTGGAAAGAATGGCTTTTATATGATATTTTGATTTCTTTGTTCCCTCTGTGGTGGAGGGAGTGCGTAATAACTGAGGGCTTATGAGGTGCTCGGAATGGTGCTAAGCACTTATATACATCATTTCATCCAGTAATCATACAGCCCGTAAGGTGGTGATCGTTCTTACACAACCGGAGGCGAGAAAGGTTAAGTACTTCCAGCTTGCAAATCACAGGACTGGGATTTGAGTCCATTTAGAACCTCCCTTCCTAGAAGGGTAGAGTTGCTTGGGTTGGGCATATCTCATTGTCTCGTTCAGGTAAACAGTCGGGAGAGATTTGGGGGACTTGGGGACTGGGTTTTGCCTGATGGTAAATTATAAAAGTTCATGGTGAAGACTCTTCCTGTTCTATGATCTTCACATTAGCTCTGGAAGGTGGCAGTGATTCTGGATCTGGAGCTTCTGAAAATTGCCAGCCAGGTGGTGGCGGCGGTGTCTGAGGCCTGGAGGCACGGGTTGAGTTTGGAGGAGTTGGGAGTGAAGTCATCTGAGGCCCAGGTCACTGGAACTCCTCCCTTTCTTTCCTTAGGGGAATAGTTCTTTCCCTGAGATTAGCAGTGGGGGAGTGGTTCCCTCTGGGGTCAGCAGCTTTGGACCAACACAGTGAGCCAAGACAGGGTGAGCAGGAGTTCCTTGACCCCGCCCACCCCGGGAGCTAGGAGATGACCTTTTGGTCTGCCTTCCTTTCCTCCCAAACCCCGCCTTTCATTTTCATTCAAAAATTACATCACCCCAGAGGCACAGTTTTTGTGTCTGAAGAAATCTGAAAACTCACTGGAAGGCTTGAACCTATTAGCTTGTTTGTTTTTCATCCTGAATTTGTAAGTATGTCTCAAGTAATGCCAAAATTACAAGAAAAAAGAACTACCCTAAGTTTGTCCTTCAAAGAGAAAAGAAAATGGCCACTTGGCTACGTGAGCGGTTCTTAATCTCGCACCTCTGCTGCTGCTTGTTCTCAGGGGGAATACAGAATTAAGTGTCCTGCAGTATTTGTACCATAAGCCACGACACACCCGTTCGCTAGCCAGTTCCTCGTTTTCTTTGTTTGAGATTGATGAAGGGCTGCTTGGACTTTGTCTCTCCTCAAGATGTTAATTGCATGTTTCAGAATCATGTGTTCTGTTAAAAATCACTTACGCATAGCCTTGGAAAGAGAACTGGAGGCCGGGAGTTGCTTCAGGGGCGCAGAATATTGTTGTGGAGGCCTTGGGAAATAAATCTTAAGAGTTCGTTCATTTACCACCAAGACATATTTAGTCAGTGTATATAAACAAAAGAAGTCACAGTGTGCCTGGACATTATTTGTCCCAGATGGAGTTTAAACTTGGCTCCTTATCCTGCACTGATGTCATGGTGCATAAACGGGCCCCAAATCAGAGCTGCACACAGAATCCTCTGTGTACTTGTGTGTGCTGAGGGCGGGTGAGGAGAGGGGTGGCGCTGGCCGGAAAATCTTTGTCACATTTTTCCTTCGTTGTCTGCAGAGACTGGTGTGTCAGTCCTGAATTTGGACTTGGTGCAGAGTGAGGGAAGAATTGGAATAATCTGTTCATTTGTACAAATCGGTATGTGTGTGCACCCAGGGATATCATCATTCCAAGACCCGAGAGTCCAGATGCGCGCCTGCTTTCCAACAGTTGCTTGCAAAGCTCTGGTACTAAGATCTGGAAAGGAAAATCTTAAAGCATTGCCTTTTTGAAGAGCGTTTTCAGTCTGTTTGTCTTGAAACCTCAAGTCTGGACAGTTTCTTTAAACTTTTTAATGGTCTTAAGTATCCAGCTGTATAATTCTGTTTTCCTGGAATGTATGGTGGATAACCTCTCAAGCTCCTTGCTTAAGTGTTTAGAAAGGCAAATGTCTGATGCTCCTTAGAGAATCTGGCCAAGTTTAATTCTTCCTGTGTGCTTTGAGGAGGCAGCTTGGGCCAGAAAAGGGTCTTCTGGAGTTCTGAGCAGTTAGTAGGAAATTTCCACATACTGTGGTGTTACTTTATTACATTTTATTGCTGACTTTCATTATGATAATCTTAATTAGAGGTGTTTCCAAGTAATTCAAACCATTTTGTGTAGATGTAAAGGGTTTAGATTTCAGGACTTCTGTGAATGGATTCCAGAGTCACTATTGTTGCCTGAATCCACGGAAGCTGGACAGACACCGGAATGCAAATGAGGTGGGAGGTGAACCTTTAAGGAAAGCCAGAATGTTTCTCAAACAGAAAATCTGGTCAGAGGTGAGAATTGGCTTTGTTGTTTTGAGAAGATAAAACACAGATTTGGTAAAAACAACAACAACTACTTTTTTTTTTAATACTCTCTCTTTAGAGGCCCCATTTTTTTTCTTAGAGATTGGTCACTGGTAGAAATTTGAAGAAAAAGAATTAATATTTTTTGAGCACATATTATGTGTGAGGCCTTGTACCAGAGCTGCATTAGGGTTGCTCTTTCCCTTGAGTGCACATATGAGGTATTAGCTCGTTTTTGTTTTTTTGGGTTTTTTTTTGTTTTTAGATGGGCACCTACGGGGATGAGAAAGTTAAGTGCTCTGTGGGGCAGAGCCAGACTCACCTGCCACCTGTCCGATTTGTTCTTCTCACTGTACAGCTTGGTTATTTTGGTTGATTTTTTTTTAACTCTAAAAGTCAAAAATGAATTGAAATTAAAATAGGATTAGCAGAGAGTGACTTAACTACTCAATATTTACAGTCTGCATGTTATTTAGAAGACAGCTCTGGCCTGAGCTTCATTTAATTTTATCTCAACATATAGCATGGCAGGAAAAGATAAACATGTAGAAGGAATATGTGCTATTAAGTATTCATTTTTAAAAAAATCTTTAAAATGCTTAAGATTGTTTTTTTTTTTTAATTTAAAGATGGCATAGTAGGTGGTATGGTTTTGTCTAAAAATCTGAGTCCTTAACTTACGCTTCAAACCTTTTTGTGTATGTACAATATGATAAAAGGCAAACTTTAACTTCAAGATTTAAAAAATGAATTAGTTTGAAATGGAATTATTTAGGAATCAGAAAGTAGATGTTTTGGGGATATGGTTAACTTTGGACCCTTGAAAATGAGTAATGGTTCTCCTTTGACTCTGAATTATATCTGTTTCCCCACTATCCTACCAGTCCTACTAGGCCTTCTTTGCTTGTGGTGCACAAACTGATGAAAAACATGCTAGGTGGGCAACCTAATCCACTGTGACCGCCTGGGGAGTTGACTAGAAATAAAGGAAGGAATGCTAGGTTGGCTCTTGGGCTTAGCTTTTTAGAGTAAAGGCCAAGAACCCAAAGAGAAGAAATAAAGGCCAGAAAAAGTTCAGGAGGAGGAGGAGGCACAAGACGGGGGCAGACTCTGGAGGCCTATTGATGGTAGCAGGGTAGACATGGAAGCGGCAGAATCACAGACAACACAACTAGAGTGACCCAAAATAGGAAAAAATGAAGTAGTTCTGGCTCGTGGAACCATAGACATTACTACACCTCCATAATCTCAGAACCTTCGGTGTTGGTGAGGAGGTAGGGCAGAGCTTGTCTGCAGCAGACCCTGTGACCTGGCTCACCATACTGTTATTTTTGAAAACTTAAACTCTGAACAGCATAATCTTTGAATTATGTCACAGGTGGATTTTTCATTAACCTCTCTACTGCTCTCCGTGTGCCCAGTGTCTCCCACCTCAGTTGGAGTTACTCACTGCTATCAGAGTCCTCTAGTAATGTTGCTTTCTCCCCTGGGAAATACTACCGCTCACAGGATGAAGTCCAGACTTCTAAGTGGGGCGCACAGAGGCTTTTCCTAGGCGGCCCTGCTCCGCAGTCTCACCTTTACCCCTCTGGACCAGGCGTATGCCATTAGGGCCAGGTCAGATTCTTTTTGTTTTTTTAAGATTTTATTTATTTTTGTGTGTGTGAGAGAGAGAGCGAGAGAGAGAGCGTGCGTGAGCACGAGGTGGGGTGAGGCAGAGGGAGAAGCAGGCTCCCCGCTGAGCTGGGAGCCCGATGTGGGACTCGATCCCAGGACTCCGGGATCATGACTTGAGCCGAAGGCAGACGCTTAACCGACTGAGCCACCCAAGCGCCCCCATGTCGGAATTCTAAACTCATCCTACAGTCCAGGCCTCTGTGTGTTTACTCAAGCAGTTGTCGTTTGGCTTACCCGCTTGCAGTCTCTCACTCCTGCCTTAAATATCATTCCCAACGGTAACTTTCCCTGATTTCTCACCGCTTTCTTCAGTTTCCATAGCTGTTAGTAGCAAATAGTCATATTTTATTACAGTTCATTGTGTTATCTACCCTTGTACCAACACACAAATGAGTAGGATGTCCTCTTTCTCATCTTAGTATCACTAGTGCTTTATAAAGTGCCAGGCACACAGTAACTACTCCGCAAATGTTTTTGAGAAATCAAGGCTTCAATAATTGCATTAGGCATTGATTTAAATAAATTTCATGCACCGAAGTCAAGGGTTGAATAAGTGAAAATATACTGTATAATGGTGGGGAGGGGGAGTCCTCACTGTTCTGTAAAATCCTTCCCAAACCCTAGCATATGACCTATTTGTATTCACTTCTGATTTGATGTTGGTGGGTATGAGCTACCAGGCAATAGTAGTGTTAATTTTAAACAGTTGAAAAAGTATAGTGATCTAGGAACGTCAGCTGTACAATATTGAATGACAAAATAGTGGGAACTGATTTCCTGTCATTTATAAGCATGAGAACATTCTTCATGGACACATTATTTCTTGATTATGTCTTAGGGAGAACAGTGTTAAATGAACGACATGGCCAACGTTGAAATAGGTTTAAAAAATACTAGAATATTGGGAATATAGGCAGTTAAATGTTTCTTCACTGACCTGGCCTTAAGATTCTGATAGTAGAGTTGTTTAGGTGCAATGCATAGATTACCAGAGGTGCGTGACATGGAGTACCACATCAACGTGGATCATGTTACTCTTTCTCAGCCAATCAAAACTAGACATGAGGTAGCTGGATCTGAATGGTAGGAGACATTTTAGATTCAGTGTGCACAAAGCACATTCAGGGTAGGGCTGACTAGGTGAAAAGTAGCCTGAACTGCTCATTCCCCATCAGTGTGGCCAGAGCCCAGCCTATGAACATGGGGTGCGTTGATGGAATTGAGGAGTAAAAGGGGGTGGTATCTCACCTGATGGACATTTTTGACAAGGATTAACCCTGAAGTGGTATTGACAAGAACCAGATTTTGTTCTCAGTGAGCATAATTTTCAGCTAAAGGAAGAAGAGTTACAGTTTTGGCACTGAGAGCTGTGTGAAAAATGTATTTAATAAAATGAAAATTATTTAAGTAAACGTCATGGTGCTTCAAATGCACAAGGGTATTTGGTAGCTGTTACTTTTAACCAGGGAAAACTATACTTAAGCTTACATAGAATTTTGGTCTTTTATGTTCTTGGTTTTTATCTTGAAAGTCCTGTAGTTGGAACCTTAGACTCTGGCATTTGTGGCTCTCTTAAAAGAGGCTTTTAACCTAGTTTTGGCCATCTATATTACATTTTGCATTTTTTCCATTTAAGTTAAGGTTATATTTTTATTCTTAGCAAACAGCAGCTCTTTTTGTAATAGAATCTCTTTATTCAAGGCAGTATACAATTAGAGTAGAAATGTATGACTTCTTACAAGCTGCCATTGTTTTCTCTTTATAGCCCTTACCACTATCTTAAATGTTTTATTTTTGTTTAAACTCTACCCCCGCACTACCCTTCTTCATCCTATGTAAGTTCTGTTTGTCAGGCTGAGGTGGGCAGAACTTTGTATTATCTAAGGCTCTATTCCCTGTGCCTAGAGGAATGCGTGACCCATTCTGGTCAGTCATTGATATTTGCTAAATTAATAGAGATATCATAGTAATTCTGAGGACGCTTGTTTCATGAAATGGGCTTTTTGAACTCTTTAGAATGTATAGATTTTCAGGCACTGGCGTGATTTCAGTGCATAAAAATGTCCTCCTTGGCTTGTCTGATTTCTCTTCCCTTGGTTACCTATTAATCCATTCCTGTCTTTTGTTGTTAATCATGGGTGACTTTGGGAAGCATAGATGCTAATAGATGCCATTGTCCTGGAAGTCCTCTTTCATTTTTCTTATGCTTACTGTTGGGCCACAAGAAGTGGCATCTCTAGTGATTGTGATAGTCCATGATTAGCTCCTTGGTCGTCTTAGGATTCGAGGGGAATTCAAGGACTTGACAAGGACTTTATGAGAATAAACCTTGCTCGGTATAAAAGCCACTGTTGGTTGTTAGTTAAGGGTTCCCTTACCACCCAACTGTCATATTGGGAGCTATGGACTCTGGCTCAGGGAGTGGGCTTGGATTTCCTAGAACAGATCTTGTCCTCACAGCATGTCTTGGAGACATGCCCTTGACCCAGTGAAGTGAGTTCTCTCTTTATAGTTGTTTATTAAAGTTACCTTCATAAAGAATTGACTTTGTGAAGCCCATGCCTATCAGAGGGGGGAATCTGTGTAATAGAAGAGAAGAGCCTGCGTTTTGGTCAGATGGGGCTGGATTCCAGTGCTCACTCAGTCATTTTGTAGTTTTGTGACTTCAGACAAGTCACTTACCCTCTTTAAGCCTCAGTTCCCCATCTATATAATCTGGTTAATAATACCTACCTGGCAGACCATGGGGGTGTTTAATAATAGCTGTGTAGGGGCGCCTGGGTGGCTCAGTCGTTAAGCGTCTGCCTTCGGCTCAGGTCATGATCCCGGGTTCCTGGGATCGAGTCCCACATCGGACTCCCTTGCTCAGCAGGAAGCCTGCTTCTCCCTCTCCCACTCCCCCTGCTTGTGTTCCTGCTCTCGCTCTCTCTCTCTCTCTGTCAAATCTTTAAAAAAAAAAAAAATAATAATAATAGCTGTGTATATAATCATTGTAGAAAAAAAGCTGTTGAAAGGAGTTGATAAAGTAGCCTGCATCATTCTGAGTTTAAGAGATATGTAATGGTCTGTTGAGGGCGACAACTTTTGAACCTTCCATTCTCTGAAGACATCAGAATACTAAAAATTTTGGAAGCATTGGAGTATTCTTGCTCCTTGCTTCAAACTGAACAGGTCTGTGGGGGACCTGGCTGGCTCAGTTGGTGGAGGATGCGACTCTTGATCTCAGGGTTGTGAGTTTGAGCCTCGCGTTGGGTGTTAAAATCTTTAAGAGAGAAAAAAAATAAACTGAACAAGTCCTAAAGCCCAGGAAGAAACAAAATAAGACTATTTTGTCCTACCAGTGTTGAAGAGAGCAACAGCTTCAATACCATGTGTGTCCCTGTGCCTTGACCCAGTGTGCAGGTCCTTCTAGAGGCCTCCTGGTCTTATGTGTGTTTTTCCTGCCAGCTTTGGAGTCAGGCTTCAGGTAGGACAGGTGAGCAGATGAGACAATCAATACTTCCCATCATCTTCTAGTACCTTTCTATTTTACCTGCCACATTTTAATCTTGGGACATTTTCTTTGTGTATATTATTACCACAAAGATAATTATTGGTTATATACAGCTCATCTTCTCTCTTTTCCTGATTTGGAGCAAAGGGAGGGGACTCAGAAAACATATGATGCCCACTTTTCAGTTTTCTGGAGACCAGCTCCAGTCTCTAGCCCAGGCACCAGGGTCTCAAAGGTGTGTATTGATGGATGGTTTGGGCCTTTGAGGGCCTGACTGGAGCGTGCCAGGATTTCTCTGGAGTTTGGGAATCTGGAGTGTGTGTGTGTGTGTGTGTGTGTGTGTGTGTATCCAGAAAAAAAGTGCTATTATTCCTCTCATATAATCAGAAGTCACTTTTTAAAGTTATTAGATATTCTTGGGGCACCTGGGTGGCTCATTCGTTAAGCATCTTCCTTTGGCTCAGGTAATGATCCCGGAGTCCTGAGATTAAGCCCCCAGTCAGGCTCCCTGCTCAGCGGGGAGCCTGCTTCTCCCTCTCTGTCTCCCTCTGTTCTCCTCCCCCCCCCCCCCCCCCAGTGCTCGCTCGCTCTCAAATAAAATAAAATCTTAATTATCTATTCTTGGATAGAATCCTTCCTTATGTGGAACTCTTCTGCAGCTTTTAGGTTATATCATTTTTTTCCCCTAAAGATATCTGTTGGATAATCTTAAATGCTGGCTGCAAGTGAGAAGTGTTCATTTATACATAACACAGTCAAGAGTAAGACACGCCTCACCGAGTGTGGCAAGTGGAAGAAGCTCCCCAAATGGAACAGGGTCCCCTCTCCTGGCATGGTTTATATCTTGAGCGTCTGGCTATTGGATTTAACTTTTAAGAAAACTGCAAATGTTACGTTCCATCTTTGGTCAGTCAGTACTGTTTCCCCAGCAGAAGCTTTAGTGATGGGCACATTCGTGGCAGTGGCTGTTTGGTCAGGGGGCTGGGGATTTTTTTTTGACGCATAAATTAGGAATTTGCCTCCAGGAATGGTCTTAGATACCATTGATCTGGTTAATCAGCCACCCACAATTTAAATTGCAATGGTAGCTTTCCTTTTCCTCCTCTAGTTAGATTTATACCTTTAAGGAAAGATCTGTTGACACCTGTTTCAATAATCTTGTTGGGCAAAGCTTTCTCACGATGCTGTTTTAGCCTTTTGCTTAATTACATCAATCCTACCTCTTGTTTTATTGTTTAAGATTTTGGAAGAATGGTCACTTAATTTTCATTAATTTTTGACAAACTTGCCTCTGGTTATTTGGGGTTGTTTGGTTCCTTTAGCTGTAACAGATTTGAAACTGATCTGATGAAGCAAGCATAGCCTGAAGTATGCTCTTATGATTTGATGAACACGGTTCTATTTTAGCATCTCTGGAGAAGAATCTATCAGTGGTTAAAATCTTCCTCTGACGAGACATAGAATGCAGCATGAATTGTTTTAATGCTGACTTTGGAAGAGCAGGAAATGCTTAGCGAGTGGACAAAAAATGATGAGGTTTGGACAGTGATAGGATGTTTTACGTTCTGCATTTATGAGAACTTGTAACAGTTATGTCTGCCTGGTGGCTAGAGAGAGAAAGGAGGGAGGGAGACAGAGTGGGTTAGAGGGGGGAGAGATTGAAGGGCAGGCTGCTATGACAGGAAAGGTTAAGCGCCAGGGAGCCTGCCAGGGTGTGACTCATGCGCCTCAAGGCTGGGTGATGCAAGGCACGCTTCTGACTTCTCATTCATGTCTGTTGTCAGGGACAAGATCACTGGGCTGGTGTGTGTCCCAAAACTTTGTTATCTCTCCTTTATTGACAGTGAAAACAGCAAGGTGGTCAGTCGACCTCAGTATAATAAAATGCTTTCTTTTAAAATAACTCGGTGCCAAGATGAATATGGGTTGCTCAAATAATGACTTTTGCTCTTACTAAGAAAAATTGATATTGGGACGCAGGAGATTTGCCTGGTTTCTGAGGTAACTTGGTAGATTATAATCTGGTTGCCATAGCAACCCAGCAGCAGGGAAAATTACAGGAATGAAACATTTGAAGAGAGGTATTTTAGTAGGATGCTTAAAAGCTCTTTACCTATCATCTTTCCCCACTGAAGAAGCAGGGTGGGGTTCAGGAATTGGCCTCCGTAAGCAGAGAGGGGATGGCATAAATGGCTTTTGGAGGCTTGGAATTGTGGCCTGGTGTCTGTGACCGCTAAGGAATCATTATAGACACTTTTCATACAGTGTGAGGAGCAGGTAATGTGACAGAATCTGGAGCGTACCCCAATTCAGAAATCCCTTTTCTTGCCTGGAACTTTCCATAATACTGGTGAATTGTACTTTGAGGACCTGCATTCAGGACACGTTGTGTGACAATTATGAGAGCGGTGGAGGAGAGAGAGTACATGAATTTGGGATTGTCAGAGAGTATCTGGGGCATAGGCTTGATGTCCTTTGATTTTTTTTTTTTTTTCCTCTCTTAACTAATTAATTCTCCAGCCTGTATTATAGGTCTTATCCCCACAGGTTTCAACACAAGCAAATGATTTCTGCTCTATTATAGTAATGTTGGAATTGGTCTAAAGACTTTTTAAAAGACACAGATAATTGTCTTTATTGGAGTGTTTTTTTTTTTATTCTATTGTAGTTATGTTCTATGTTTATGTAAAAATAAAGTTAAAACTATTTTCATGTTAGGAATGACTTTAAAAGCTCAGTTTCAAGAAAGCAATTGAAATGTTTTAATCACTCTGTAGAGATCTGAAGGGATTTCCTTTTGAGTTCTTAAAATGGCACAGTGTGTTTACATTGGTAAGAATTTGAATACTTAAGACTGAAAGATTATTGACACAGTTACTGTACAGGAAAAATAAATTGCCTTGAAACCACCGTTATAATTCAAGATAATGAGAAGCACCAGGGATGAAGCTTGGATGGCTTTTTCCTGAATGATCTTGTTTTCTCCAGTTAATGCATTTCCTGATTTAAATAATTTTAATATCCCAACAGTGTCTCCTGTGGTGAATTAGTAGAAGAAGCAAAATACATGGATATTAAAGGTTTAGGTTTTAAGAATGAAACGGCTTTGATCTCAAACATTTTTACAGAACAGAAATTATGGTACATACAGTAAATAAAGTTGACCTTAAAAAAAAGTTGACCTTTTAAATGGAATATTATGAAAGCTTAATTTCAAAGTTAAAATTTTTGTTTGCAGTATTGTTTGCAATGGTTTTCCTTGTGTTTTACGACCTTCATTCATGTAGTAGAAATAGTTATTAAGCACTTATTCTAGGCCGGGTATAGTTTTGAGCACTTGACTTTATGCCAGATCTTGTCCTTACAGAGTCAATCTCAAAGAAGCAAAGACAGACCCTAGAATAACTGCTTAACTAATTGGAGTTGTAAATTCTAGGAAGGAGAAGTATCGGTGTGTGGGCATGTGTGCCTGTGTTACAGCATACAATGGGAGACCCAACCTGTCCTGAGAAGCAGATGCCACTTCTTAAGCTGACAAGAGTGAATAGGCATTGGTCACTCATCAGGGAAGGAGTAAGGTGGGTGGCAGGCAGAGAAGAAGAAGGACAGGGAAACCATTACAGGTAGAGGGAACGGTATGCTTGATGGTTTCGATGCAGGGAGGGACAAGGCTTGCTCCAAGAATGCTAAGGTGAATGTGACACTCAACATCCTTCCAATTTCCAGAAATGTATGGTCATTATTTTAATAGTGTTAACCTTGCACATGGTGATTTTTTTAACTACAGTTTTTATTTTTCTATTATTTATTTATTTATTTTAAAGATTTTATTTATTTATTTGACAGAGAGAGACACATCCAGAGAGGGAACGCAAGCAGGGGGAGTGGGAGAGGGAGAAGCAGGCTTCCCGCCGAGCAGGGACCCCAATGTGGGGCTCGATCCCAGGACCCCGGGATCATGACCTGAACCGAAGGCAGACGTTTAACGACTGAGCCACCCAGGCGCCCCATTTTTTTTTACTATTTTTTAAAGATTTTATTTATTTATTTGACAGAGACACAGCGAGAGATGGAACACAAGCAGGGGGAGTGGGAGAGGGAGAAACTGGCTTCCCGCCGAGCAGGGAGCCCAGGACCCTGGGATCATGACCTGAGCTGAAGGCAGATGCTTAACGACTGAGCCACCCAGGCGCCCCTTAACTACAGTTTTTAAACTTGGATTACATCCTTTGATTTATATTTAGATATAAATTAGTGATGTTTCTTTCTGTTACCTACAGGAACTAGATGAGATCTAAAACTGAGGCTCTTAAAAGAACATACTTTGCCATTGCTGTGCGTGGTCTAGTCTTGGAAGTTGTCTACTTATATTAAATATTAGGGGTGCCTGGGTGGCTCAGTCGGTGGAGTGTCCGACTCTTCGGCTCGGGTCATAATCTCATGGGTTGTGGGATTGAGCGCCCTGTGGGGTTCCTTGCATCAGCGGGGAGTCTGCCTAATAAAGAGTCTCTCCCTCTGCGCCTCCCCGACTTGGTGTGTGCTCTTGCATGTGCTCTCTCTCTCTCATAGTTAAATAAAATTTTTAAAATAAATATTAATGTTCACTGACATTTAGATAATAGATTTTAAAATTTGAGTGTTTGAGGCCTGTTTATAAAATTATTCATTTATTTTATAGTGTTTATTATTATTTCCAGCACTTATACAAATACTTTATTTTCCAGACATTTTTCTTATCAGTTGCCTTCTTTTGTTACACAGAAGAATCATATGACCGAAGTCAGTAATGGACACTTGGGAAGAATATGCTCCATGGTGTTTGGCCAGAGCCACGTTTCTCTGTGCCATTTTCCTTTATAAGCAGAGTTTCTGGTCTACTTTCTTCTCGATTTCTTGTTTCTAAATTAGTGTAAGAAAAAAAGGAATTGTTGTAAAAGTAAAAAAAAAGTTGAGCTTTTTAGGTACCTAGCATCATAACCAACGCAGGAGAATTCGCTTAGCTAAATTCAAATGCATGTACTTACCCCGCTCAGAGCTGAACCAGGTCTAAGACCTATCCTAAGTTTTGTGTTTATACAGGATTCTGTGCCACATACATCCTGTCTAGTACATAAATTCAGGTAATAAAACTGTTGAAGAGAAACCCCAGATGCTTTGGTATTAAATTGAAATTAATGTGTTATTTTGCAGGTCATTCTTGTTCAAGTTAATCCAGGTGAGACTTTCACAATAAGAGCGGAGGATGGAACACTTCAGTGCATTCAAGGTAAGGAAATTCTTGTAAGCCTTCTAATCAAAGGAGTTTCTCTTTTATTTCTTGTTTGAAGGAAGAGTAAAGTTTTTCCTTGTGTCTTTATTTTCCAGAAGTAAAATTTGTCTTGGATTTTTAAAAACTTTTTAATCTTTCTATAACATAGGGTCTTGATGCTAATGTAGGCCTGTGATAAATAAAGGGACAAAGTTAAATACCTCTAGTATTCTGTTGACTTTTAAGTGAGTTAATTTAACTTGGGAAGGCTTGCAGTATCTTTTAATATATTATGGAATTTGGAAAATGTTGAGATTTTGAAGGACTTTAAATTTTCAATTGAGAACAACAAGAACTTTTTCAAATGAGTTCAAAAGTTTCAAGTAAATACTGTGATGCTAACCAGATGATGTTTTTTGAGGTAAAATCTGTATTAAGTATCTGCTATTTGTTACTGATTAACAGATTACTCCAAAAATTAGGGGCTTATAACAACAACATGTATTATCTCACAGTTTTTGTGGGTCAGGAATTTTAGGCACAGTTCAGCTGTGTCCCATGGCCCTGGGCCTCTCAAGATCCCCAAATCCAGGTGTGGGCTAGAGCTGCCCTCCTTGTGAGGCATGTCTAAGGGTCAGTCTGTTTCCAGGCTTGCTTGAGGGGTTGTTGGTAGGATTTAGGTTTTTGTGTGCTATTGGCAGGAGGCTTCCCTCAGTTCCTTGCTAAATGGCTTCTCCATGAGACAGCTGGCTTTATCAGAGGAGCAACTAGAGGGCAAGGGGGCGATACTAGGTCCAGCCCACTCAAGAAAGGGAATTTGCACAGTGTAGGAACACCAGCAGGCGGGAATCACTGGGGGCCATCTTAGAAAACTGCCCATCATGGTCCACTCTCGGGGCCTAATAATTCATGCCCCTCCACATGCAGAATACTCTCTCGAAAGTTCTCTAAATGTCTTATTGCATTGCTGCATCAGCTCAGAGTCCAGAATCTTGCATCTACTAAGTTCCAGGTAGGTGATGTTCCTTGGGTATAGATCTTTAAGTATGGCTCCTAGGGCGTTTTAGTTACTTCCTGGTTGTATAATCCAGTGCCACCTCTCTCTAGTTCACTTAGGAAAGTAGCGACTTAGGCCCTCTGAACCATAGGAAGCTCAGTCCAGATCTGTAGTTAGCCTGTAAACACTGCTGTGTTGGAGGGCACTGTTTGTGGTAGCTCTTTTTGGCTATAGGGCCAAAAAGATTGCGATTATGGGGCAAATGGCAAATTGGCGTGTAATGGAGTTCAATACTAGGTTATTGATTGGCCAAGACTCTGATCAGAGGCCTGTCTTAAGTTTTGGACTTGTTCACCAGTACATAAATGAAGGGAAATGCCCTTTACTTTTAGTTTCTCATAATGAGCTGCATGGAAAAAGGTGATTTTTCTACTGCTTTTTTTTATATATAGCAGAGCATGCTGCTTTGTAGTTTTGCTACTTAATTTTGCTCCTATAGGTACAAAAACTAGGGAAAAAACTTTTACTTTTGGAGAAATGAGTGTATTTTGAAAGATTCAAGCCTAATGAATTTTAATTGCAGTTAGATAATCTGAAATGACTTAACTGTTTTATTAATGATTTTTTTTTTTTAAAGATTTTATTTATTTATTTGAGAGAGAGAGA